GTTTGCAAACATATGTGTATAATAGCAATATTATTCACAAGTTATAACGAAAGATAAAGAATAAACTACTACATTTGGATTTGGCTATATTGACAAATAAATAATACAACTAAGATGGATGGACCATGGGTTAAACTAACCACCAAGTCACCAACTACACCTAGTAGTTTTTAATACGTACCAAACCCCAACGGGTCAGAATAAGCCAAAAAAAAGTGACTTTTAAAAATCAAAAGACAAAAACATTTAATTAATATATAACTCCACTTTACCTAGCTCGAATTTATCAGGATTGATATCAACACCAATGATTTTCGCAGCCCCACGCACTCTGGCTCCTTCTGCAACCTGTTTACCAAATCATTTAACTATTATTAGCAAACAACTAATAGATATCAAATTAATCAAATTGAGGGACCAAAAAAAGTGTAAAAAACATAAAAACGATACCGCAAGCCCAACAGCACCAAGGCCAAAAACTGCAATGGTGGATCCTTCTTCTAGGTCAGCCACCTTCCAAGCTGCTCCAATTCCTGATCCAAGTTAGGAAGTATCATTTCGGACCGCGAAACTTTGGGTTGGACATAAACCGCCTTGTTAAGACTATAAGTTGGTGTTTTTAGGACCGTAGTCTCTACTAATCCTACGTAACAAATAATGAACAATAAAAATATAAGAAACCTGTGGAGACACCGCAGCTGAGCAAAGTCGCTTTATCGACAGGAATCTCCTGAGAGATTTTGACAAGATGTGCGATATCTACGACAGTATATTCAGAAAAACTTGAGACGAAAAGAAAATGATGAATATTTTCTCCCGAAGAGTCTTTGAATCTTGAAGTCATTCCATATCGTCTTGTGTTGGATAAAAAATCTTCGGCAAATCTTGTGCACCAATTGCTCTTTGAGGATTTGCAGTCTCTACATTCTTCACAGTGAGGGTGAAACACTGGCAAAACGACGTCGCCTTCTTTAAATGCGTCCACATGTTCACCAATGCTCTCGACCACACTACATTAATACAATCCCATGTTATGAAACAACAAGAATCAAATAATTAGGCAAGTTCTTGAAGAAAAAAAGTAAATGAAGAAGAAGATTCACCCGACTGCTTCATGTCCTAAAATCCTAGGAAACCTTACATGTGGTCCCTGTAATATTCAATAGCTAGGTTAGAGAAAACCAAAAAAAAAAATCGAGTTTTTTTTTAAGGATAGATTATGTGTTGACATGTATATCTTTCGTACATCATCTAATTTCAAGAAAGAAAGATCGGTGTGACATAGAGATGTGCATAGGATCTTAATCCTAACTTCATAAGCTTGAGGTGGATCCACGTAAATCTCTTCTATAACCAATGCTTCTCCTGCTTTTCTACATATTGCTGCTTTGCATCGAATCGGCTTTCCTTCGTAGCTTGATATTGATGATGTGATCTTACCCATGGATATGAGAGAGAGAGAGAGTCACTTGTTATTCCTTTCTTGGCTTTCTCAATATTGTCTTTGCGAAATGATTTGATATATTGTGGTGGACTGTATAATTAAGCTTGATCGTCTCTATATGAGAGCATCATTAACAATGATACAATGTGGGTATCATTAAATATAAAATTATTAAAATTTGAGTAAAAGGAAGAAAGAGAGTGTTTTTTGTTGAAATAATGGGATATATTGAAATATAAAATTAATAAAATTTGAGTAAAGAGAAGAGATAGTGGGTATTTTTGGAGAGAGAGTATCAAATAGTTGATATAGTTGATACTTTTGAAGAGAAAAAGAATGTGTTTTTAATAATTTTATATTAAATAGAGTATAAAATTAATAAAAATTGAGTAAAAATATGAAAGAGAAAATATAAAGTTAAGTAAAAAGAAGAGAGAGTGTGTTTTTAATAATTTTATATTTAA